ACGCGTGTGCTGGAAAAACGACTTGAAGCGAAACCCGGTGTAGCATTTACTCCTCTAAACGTTTGTTTGAAACACTAACGGCAGGTGGGATGCGTCGAAGACGCTTGCGTTCGGCTTCCCTGGCTCGTGCCTCGTCGGTGTTGACGTTCCCATTCGCGAACGCGATCGGCTTCGCTAACCATCGCAACGCCGGCGACATCGGGGAAACGTACGCGCACACTAGCGGGAAGCATGTCACGATGCCATCCCGCCCGTCATCGCGATCCCATAGAGTAACATCTTTACTATGGTACTCTAAGGCGATCGCTCGGCAAGCAGCGGCGCGCTGTCCACATTGCCAACTCCGCGAGATTCTGGCGGCACGCGCTCCCCCCGGCTCGCGGCTTCTTCTCGCCGACAGATGGAGAGAGGTGGTGCTGGTGAGATGATGCCCACGTGAGAAGTGAGCTCGAGCGTTGCGAATTGTGGAGAAGGTGAAGCGAGAGTGAGCTCACACGCGGCAAGCGCGCGGAAGGCGAGGAATAGAGACGTCACCACGAACTGCTAGGAGAGCGTGACCTACTTGGCACCGCTCCAAAACTTGCCATGAGGATGGTGGTGGTAAAAAACATTTATTTCAGAAAAAGTCTACTAGAGAGTGCCGACGTGGCCCATCGGCGTGCTAGAGTGGCAAGACCCTATTCCGGGACGCCAGTGGAGCTGGAAGCTGCCCGTGCGCGCTCCACCAAGGAGCGTTGTGCAGCCAAGGTAGAGCAGCCGAGCAGGTGCTCCTCCCAAGCCTCTCTAGTTGGGATAGGAAAAGGGGATGAGAAAGGGACGGGATTAACTGGGTACGATGCTACGATGTGATATGTGTCGGCGAGGACATGACAGGTCGAGCAGGTGCCATTGATTTCCGGCAAAAAATGACTGGCGACCGCCGGACAGATAAAGGTGTTCGTCTGCAGGCGGCGTAGGAGTCGTTCGTCCGCTTTCTCCAAACTGCGTGCGGGGTCCGGGTAGAGGCGGCGCGAAGCCCGGTAATAAGCCAAAATTTCGCGAAAGCGCGTCAGGTTGGTATTGCCAGATTCCGTCTCGGGACATGGAGGGGCAACGGCCCGGACAGGAGAAGCGCGGGCAGCGGCATTTGCCGCCTCGTTGCCGGGCAGGCCCGAGTGGCCTGGGGTCCAGACTATACGAATGGGATGAGGGTTAAAGCGCCAAGAGGCTGCCTGTAGTAGGCTAGCCGCCAGCGGGGCAATGGAACCCTGAAGGTACTGAGAACAGGCCGAGCGCGAGTCCGTCAGGATGGTGCGTGAGGGCCATGAGGAGAGCGGTGTAGACGGAGGAACAGCGTTACACAGGCTTGACAAAGAGCTGCTTCGCATCTAATACGCACGCCAGCCGGGCGATCCTACGCCTGTGTTATCCAAGCCTATACTCGACGGACGCGTGTAAAGCGTGTGGGGAAAGGGCCACACTGCAGCACATCCTTTGAGAGTGTGTCACTGCCACCGCTCACTTCGCGACGCATGTTTCGGCAGGGACGAACTCCGAGTCGAATTGTTGCTGCTGCAACCGCGCGAGCTCGGCAGAGGTGTAGGGGTCGGCCACCGCCGCGGCAGCGGTCACTGCTGCGAATCACCTGCGTCAGCTTCGCTGTCGCATAGAGGCGGCACTCACCAGCGACGAGCTGGCCGACCAGGGCCATCTGGTAAGCCGAAGATGCCGCCCCGGTCGAAGGACTTAACGAGTGACATGACTCACCGCCATCTTCATCGATGGAGGGTGGGAAAGGACAAGAGTTTCCCGCCTGCCTCTCCCGATTAAAACTGCCGGACTTTAAATGAAGTTCATCACTCATTTGTTTTCGGTCAGTTCTGACACACTGGCCAGATCTATGTGGATATATGTGCCACAAGTGATTGACAGATAGTGTAGAAATAGAGAGAACACGAGAACACATCTTGCTCATTTTAACGCCAGAGCTTTAAAAAGCTGACATCGGCAGCGTTGACCCGACGAATGCATATAAATAATAATAAATAAATATCAGGACCACAGCTGTAACTGAACCCATGCATTCTGCATAGTAATCAAGTATTCTACAATATAGCCATGACAGGTTCGAACACACTCTGGAAAAATACACTATTGATGCGTAATTGATGTTGGTAAAACGTGATTGTGTGCAGTGCGGGTTGTACAATTTTATAAACAATACTTACGTACTCCTATGATACAGCCGTCACGTCAGGTTAACGTCTTTGTAGTTGAGCGCCATCCACAGACTTTTACTTTTGTGGAATCAACCAGGAGGCGCAAGCATTACATATCCGAGAGATGATATATAACGTTACATTCCTCCTTGAGAACATAAACGTTACATATAAGCCTCCGCATCAGGTGTTCCTGATACTCATGTTGCTGTGGGCATCGTTACGCAAGTGTCAAAAAATGGTCATCTAAGACATGTATGCACCGGTAAGAATGATAAATTATTGAAAAATGTTTTGTTTACACAGTCACAAAAAAAATTAGGGAACCCTAAAACTTCGCCATTACGAGTTTAACACGTTAGGGTCATTCTTTTCCTAGTGCGTACTTTAAACACTTAGTGCGTGAAACCTTTCTGAATTCACTATGCATCCACTACGTGGTCTTAAGATAATAGGTGCAGTAGCTATAGTGCCTTTTGTAGGGGGTACCAGCTTTCAACCAGGGAGCCAATATTATAATCACATATTCTGACGCCCGTGGGCAATAGACGCTTGTACCACGCATTATTACTGCAATATTTCGTGTCGCATTGTGAAGCATGTATACAGAACGCGTGTGTTTGTGAAGCATGAGAGCTACTTCAATTGCATTTCCAAGCAGAGGAAGTTCTTTTCACTGTTTTCAGAAGCACTGTTTTTCGAGGCGTGGCCAATATTAAAGAAAGAAAAAAAAACGAGGCGTGACCGTGTGGTAGAACATCCGCTTGCAACGCAAACGACCCCGGTTCGATCCCCACTGATACCCAAACAATCCTAGTTCAGTCTCCACTCAGCTCCAGTATTACTTATTTTATTTGTATCCTTCTCAGTTTCGGTCACTCATAAGATGATTTTTCGCTCAAAAAAAAAAATGATGCCGGATTTTGTACGAAACGAGCTCATCAATGCTATCGCATTAAAAGTGGCACGGATTAAACGCATCTCTCTCGCAGCCACGCGCACTAAAAGATAGTAACTTAGACAAAGAAGCAAGAAGAGCTTTATCAATTTCAGTAACACATTTATTAAATTTTGCGAAATTTCATAACACACCGAGGAAACTGTTGAGCGAAGGTGAAGGTGTTCGCACAGAACAGGAAGTACAGTATACACATTTGCACACACAGTATTTGCATGTATTTACACAATCAAAAAGCGTACAAAATTTACGCATGTATACTTGCAGCTCAGCACAAGTAATTGAACATTGCACTTTCACATTAAGTACTTGTCACAGCCAAAGAACGGGACACTGTCGCCTTCCGCATAGCAAAGCCAGACGTGCCAGTGCCCCGAATGGCACCACGAAAGCACGCACTTTTCGGTCTCCGTGAAAACCAAGTTGGTGTTCAAATACAAGGCCAGAGCCGAGTTTTGACAGAAAACAAAAAACACATAATTATTTCATGCTGTTATAGGCAGTATACATAAGCGCACACATGAAGGCGTACACGACAAAACTTCTCAGTGAAACAGTGCTACAGTATAAAACCTTGCATTGACGAATGCTCTAAAAATCCAAATGTCTCTTTATAATCACCAGTGCTTGTTGCTACTCAGCAGTCCATGATTTTAAATATAATTCTTCTTACAATGAGTGAGCTGCAGCGCTCGAATGTGTCCTTCCACCTCCCGGTTGGTAATCCAATTTTTCTGAATGACGTCATGGCTCGTTCACCTGCACGCCAATACGTCGACATCCGCCGGCAAGTTGTCGTGGTGACAGTCTGAGTAGGCCTTTTATGCAGTACTTTCGTATAACAAGAATCTTCTCGTGGCTTCGGTTGGCGACGGCCGTCCTGGTGAAGGAGTGCCATCTTGTTTTGACTTCGAGAAGCTAGGGTCGAAGCCAGCAAGGGATATTTTCGGCGACGTGGTCGTTAGTTGTACATTGCAGTTGGCTATATGAAGCATTCGCGTGTAATTTGTGTAGGCGCACTTTTTTGACAATGGTGCCATAGGTGCTAAACTTCGGCTCATTAGTCTTAGGCTGAGCTTAGTGCAAGTTACACTTGAAAATTGAAGCAAGTGTACATAAAATACATTGTAGAGTGGCACCGGGTCCCGCACAACGGGTAAAGAAACACATTGTAGCTCTACAATGCATATATACAACGCGATGACTATAATTGCCTCTGGTATGATCGCATATTGCATTCAAACGATCTATCGCGTACATAACAAAATGCATCATTGCAGTATACTGTCGAAATAATTATACATTGATATTGTAGACTTTCCCAGTGATTGGAGGTCAATAATGTTGCCCCTGCATGAAGCCAACTAGTAAATCATCTTCTATGCGTCACAATAGCGTTGTAGCTTCAAGAAGAACCCACTCCCACCATTGTTTAGTGGTTACAGTGCTGACCCGAAGGGCGCGGGAGAGCAGCCTGTCCTCGGCGGCTCTGCTTTCGGTGGACACGAAAATGCTTCAGGTCCGTGTATGCCGAACAAGAGATGGCTTAAATTCACGAAGCCCTCTATTGCGGCATGCCTCACAATCATACCGTGGTTTTGGATGTTAAACCCCTACAATTACTATTCTACACAAAGCATGCCACATCCCAAAGTGAAACAGTAGAACAAAACACAACATCACAGGTTCGATTCATCACTAGCCTTGAGGTGCGAAACTGAAGGCAAGCACGGCGGTGTATTTAGATTTAGGTGCACGTTAAGGAACCCAAAAGGGCTCGCATGTCAACTTCACATATGGGTTGAACAGCACGCCAAAAATATTAACGAAGTAAAAAAGTCACATTAAATGCGGTACATTCTCCTCGTGTTCTGGCGGACAGCAACCAGGACTTCCTCCAGCGGGATGCCGCGCATCGCCGACAGCTGCGTGGCCACGTGGATGGCCATCCCTGGATGGGACTGCTTGAGACGGTTGGACTCCTGCGAGGCATGAAAGAAGGCACATAAGCAACTCGTCCCGCCACCTGTCTCGCCTATAGAAACAGCAGTGTTCCAGAATTTCAATGGTATTCATCAGTAAGCTATACATGATTCCAGACGAAACTTCATGACTGCGCCATTTGCAGGTGGTTGAAGTGGAATAATATTGTAAAAATTGCTGTTCACCAATATTTATTCAATAGTTATAGCAGGGGTGAAAGTTCAACGCCATAGGCACCACACACTGGCCAGATGGAGCTGCGTTGCTCACACTGCCCCGCATCAAAGTCTTTGACATTCGACGTTACGGGCACGCAGAAAATACACGGTTCCTCGCATCCCCCATGTATCCCAGCCACAATCCGCCGACAGATGGAGGGCGCGAAACGGGCACGTCACGTTCCCTTTTCATTGAGGCCGTCTTAAGGTTGTTTCTTTCATCCGCTAGGCTACGTATTCTGGCGCTGCAGTCAGACTGGAAAACTCGACTGAACGGTGTATATCTGCGCCAAGCTGCGCCTGAACGGAAATTTGCGTGTGTCATGCCAAATTTAGTCGAGTTTTATCATCGGGTGACCAACGCGCGCTGGCTGCATAAAGTAACCGCATCTATGTCAAATGCACTTCGGTCACATCGATATATCGGTTTATGCATGATTCATGAGTCACGGGAACAAAGTGCATAGATCTTGTTAAAGTGGCGTTTGTGTGCATATTTACGTCATTATGCGAATCTATATAGTGTTAACAGCAAAGCTGTTGGTCAGACTCTCGGTGTAAGAAAAATAATTTCCTCCGTGCATGACGGAGAGCGCGTCCAGATAATGTTCGGCTTTTCTAAATGCACCGTCTGCAGTTTCGTGGGAAGCGCGGCGCGACGAGGGAAACGTGCGTTTTTTCGTTTCTTTGTAGCTCGTAGGATTCTTTTAAATCGTGCACGCTTGGAACAAGAGTTACAAACGCATACCGCATTTTCCACGACCGAGAAACGCCCGTGTTGCGAACGCCACAAATGGATGCGTGAGAAGGAAAAAAAAAAAGTGCCGCCATATCCACGAAGTGAATGATGATGAGCGGGCGAAGCTCCGGGTGTAAACCTGTAAACCATGAATCATCCGCACATTTTGCCCACTTGATTTTATTACAACGCTCCCCCTAGCGTACGTCGCCACACTAAATCGAATGATTGCTTTTTACCAATGGCACGCGCCATATGTGACATCACTCCTATTTTATAACATCTCGCATCTTTCATCATCAACTACAAGTACCGCCGTCTAGTTTATAACATCTTGCATCTTTTCATCGTCATCTACAAGTACTGCCATCTAGTGAACACTGCAAAAACTTAACGAAAGGTGGCTACACACATGAGATGGTACCGCCATCTAGCGAACACTGCAAGAACTAAACGAGAGGTGGCTACATACAGGGGACGCACAGCCCACGCCCTAAGGAGCTTCGCCCCTAAAAAAAAAAAAGATTATAATTCCGGCGCTGAGTTATGTGCGGCGCGCACATGAAAGCTCCCTTAGGGTCCCTAGATGAAACAACTTGTTCCATCTAGGGACCTTAGGCTCCCTTGAGTTGTCATGTGCGCAATGCCGTTACGGACGCTATACGCACGTTGTAGACCTTCCTAAATACACACTAGAGGGAACTCTGGCGCTAGTGTCAATGGGATCTGCAACGCGTGATGCTTCAGTGAACCTGGGAATTATGGGTATGACATGGATTTCCTAGTCTTCGTACTTTACATTAGTTCTGGCTTTGTGTGACTTGAAACTGCTTCGTCACGAAACAACAATCGGCAAACTTTCGGCAGTTACGCTTCATGATCTTAATATTTTAGGCTTACCACTTCAAATCGGGTCACAAAGTGAGAAACAATTTGTTCTTTCCTTCGAAACAGAAAGAAACACTGCAATAAACGAAGCTACGCATTCGCCGCCCACAAGGACGAATGCTAGGCAAAATCATGTTATACCCATATTTTCCATAGTCGCTGAACGATCGCAGCGTCAGAGTCCCCTCTAGTAATTTCAGGAAACTCAATGACGCACACAGCTCGTTTTCCATAGCTCATGATCCAGGCCACATCGGGGCCTGGAGGAGGAAAGTGTCGGACATTATCTGGACGCGGCGTTGGTAATAGTGTCCACACCTAAATGGTTTTTCATACACAGTGGTCAAACTAGCAATACGACAGTGGTGTTTGAAAAACAAAAAGAAAAACCTCGCCACACTGTTGCTGAGCGACCGCTGAGCACGGCACGGGCTATGCGATCGAGACCTTCGAACCATATAAATTGAAAAATAAAAATCAGTTTCACCGGTGAAGCGATGAATTCAATTGCACAGTTTGTATTGTAGTAGTATTACCTCATGCGCTCCTTTTTTTTCTATATTTGTTACCACCGCATTACGCGTGTAACGCTGGCTTGCGCAAACCGCACTCGAAATTCCGAATGATTGAAAACCAACTAGATAATCTTAAAACGGCCCGATTAGATTACGCTGACAACGCGTACATTAGAGTTTGTCATCAACTTACGTGGACGCTATCGATAACGCTGGAACCTTCGATGGCGCGTGTATGAGCGCCGTCGAAATTCGCCGCTCGGCAGATCGACGACCGACGCTGCCATAAGTGTACAGCGTGTATTGGTTGTGGAGTGACGTTTTGTTTCCCGCTCACAGGTTCGCCGAAACAGAAAGTTCACCCCTGAAAGCAGCGGCTGCTGCCTTCGTCAACGTCACAGACCCGTGACAATTCGAAGGCTGAGAGCTGACTCTTTCGGATCCGACAACGCATAATTCTACAAAACGCTGGGGTAAGAGAATAAATGCGGCCGCTCCAGGGAGAAGTGCTCTTATGACACAATCTCTTCCCATTGAGTGCGCATCACGCAGAACGGTTTACGAGCTCGCCGAGGTAGCACGCTTGCCAGCCGTCGCAATCATGACCTTAGAATCCGAGTTTAACGCAGCTGTTTGAGGGATCCCCCCTTCCCCCGCGTCTTTTCATGCTTGTTCGAGGCGGGCAGTGTTTTTTTTTTTTTCTCCTGCGTGAGCATTCGTCGGTGTGTCTAACACGCGGTAGCATGCCATCGCGTCCACCAAACGAGCGAGGGAGATGAGCCGCCTGGGTTTAATCACAGCCTTAGCGGCGCTCGTCACCCCAGCTCACTAGAGTTACTGTATATGCTACCTTTAGGCAGCGGCCTCTGACAGAACTCGCCGCTCGCGCTACCAATCGTCTAGCGCGCTCACGTGCACAAAAAGGAATCGTTTAAGGGAAAGCCAACTTCACGGCTGCGCGGGTGCTGGCGACCGCAGCGCCACCACTGCACTGTCAAGCCGTCTGCCCGGCGAAGCGCGAGGCGGTTCGGCTCGAGCAGTGCGGATTGTGTGTCGGTTTTGCGGTGCTGTTTCCTGCTGTCCGTTTTAGTGTTTTTCTTGTAAGCGAGAGTCATTGCAGCAGCCCATATGCAGTATATTTTTTTAGCGGGGGAGGGGGCTGACTTGCTGAAGATCATGAAAAACTCACTTTTATGAGCCATTTTCAGTAAAATACACGTACCCAAAATCTCGGTAAAGAGCCCCCTCCCCCTTCTTTTTAGCTATGGGCCAACGTCAGCGACACGTTATGAACGAGCGTATACTGAGAAAGTACACGGAGCCGCTGAGCAGTGTAGGCTCCTACAGTCCAGAGGGGTGGCTTTCCCGCTTAACATTGCCGTGCCGGCAAGCAAATGGCAGACCTATGCGCAACTCTGCTGCCTATGGTATCATATACAGTTACTCTACAGCTCGAAAGAATTTACGCACGGCCAGAACGTACGATGTGCGGGGAATGCTACCAACTTGTAATTTACGCGCAACATGGGTCGACGGTAAAAACTCGTCGAGTGCCTATATCGTAATAAAAAAAATTCCACCCCATCGCCAAGCAATGGGCGGTGAGCGCGTATAAATTCAGTTGTGGCACGTCGACGACCGGAACACAAGTTTTTTTACATTCATTTTTATAGAGCTCTATTGAATTCAACAGGTAAATACGTGGTATTAGCTCATCTCTAGACCTGACCTGCTGTTCTAAGGGTGATGCGTGGCCCTACAAATCTGTTTCAAAACTAAATTTTGATGCTTCAATACACAACTTTTGGTCCTCCAGAGTTGCTCTTAAACTCCCTTTTACTGCTCCAAAACCAGATTATTCCTGCTCCCTGAGCTGCTCCTAAAGGCTGAAGGCTGTTTCCTTCCCTGCACTAAAAATAATTTTTTTTCTTGCAGCCTTTTTTTCGCTTCCGTAGCTTGAACAAATTATCTTAGCTCATGACCTTCAGAATTGACGTTCGATATTATTTTTCTCGATCCCTTTTTCCTCTTCGGTATACAGCCAGAAAGTGGTATTTGCTATACTTGGCAAATATGAATTCCAGTCGACGAAGTGCGCAATATGATGTCTTCACTGTTTTGTTACACAATACAAATATAAACAAAGCACAACCACTGAGATGCTGCTGCACAGGCATGTAGTGAGAGATGTCTGTGGCAGGCTTTCAAACGCTTCACAAAAATGCCACAAAGATCGCATTGCAATTTTCCAGGCATTACCCTAAGTACATGAAAAAGAAAATCTCTGGCCTGATGCAATACTAATCGATATTGGGCTTTTTTATTTTTTCAGTTATGCTGCCCGCCACAAGTCCATTGTAGTAGATTAGAAAGGACAACATAACAAGACAGTACCACGAAAATAGACAAGCACGTGAGCAGCCATTTTGCACGCGATGAAGTTTTCAATTATATACCTGAATGTAGGAAACGATTCCTTAGGTTGTTTCAATGTTGAAATAAACCTGCAAATTTCGCTCATATTCTTCGTCTATTTTACGAGAAACACGGAGTATTGTTTGAAAGGACTAACATAACTTATGCTTTTTATGCGAAACACTGTTTGCAGTTAAAAGTGAATATTTCACTTACGCTATTCGGGAGAAAGTAGGGTGCATCCGTCTCCAACAGCAGGCGGTCCAGGGGGATCCGGCGGCCAACCTCAGCAAGCGGTGCAGCGCTGTGGAAACCCACCAGGGGAGTGAGGCCCAAGAACAAGTTTGGAAAGGTGTCCATCCACTGCTGGGCCTCTGTCCATCCGCCGGTGAAGCAATGCCTGTGGATAGGCCAGTCCGCCGGCATCTCCTGGTTGGTGCAACAGAATAACCAGAATGTTGGTTGGCACATTCGTAAACCTTGATCACACGTGTGAACACCACACAAATATTAGGAATGGCGGGCACAGAAATAAGAATTATTGAAAGTTTCCAGGCACGTTTAATGTTTCTTATGAATAGCAAGCAGGAGCAGTGTGACTGCGTTATATATTCACGCAACTGCCCTTAATGACCATACCTGCTCCACAGGTCATTCCTGTAACAGCCTTCCCAAAGAAACACCACCAAAACAGCAGATAAATGTAAGAAGTTATTCAGATTTTTTAGGCTATTTCATACAACTTTGACTAGGCAAAAAAAAAAGACGATAAAATATTACTACTAGGATAGGGTGAGTTATACCACTCCCTCGTGCATACTGTGTGGTTCGGTTAGCGTTTACTAAAAGCAGGAATTAAAAATGTCTAGCTTGGTAAATCTTAAGTGCGCATGCGGAGTTGTGCATTACACTCGAAAGAATAATGAAGGGAATTTATCACCAATTTATTCTACCTTTCAAGATGTTTGTCAGATATTTGTTGCCCTCGCTATGAAGCCATGAAAAAAAGTGCGTATAGCCGCGAAAAAATTGGTACCTAAAAAACCAAGTAATCTTCATTTGGCTAGTACAAGTGCCAGGAGATGAAACGAGATAAGAGTAGATGGCAGTACTTTCGTTTCATGGCATTCTAGGCAGTCATGAGCTATGGTGCTGTACCCCAATTTCCTTTAGGTGAAGCATATTTTGAATATAACTGTCGCAAGAAAGCCGCCGTACCTCTTTGAGGATCCGCAGCATGTCTTGCGAGGCATCCCTCGAGTGGATGACCAGCGGAGCTTCCCTTTGCTTGCCAACTGTAGCTGGCGGCGGAAGACGAGCTGCTGGAGTTTGTGGTCGCAATGGTTGCTGAAACGAAGAATGTTCAATGAAGTGATGCGGGATAGCAGTACATGGTACAGATTACGTAAGCTTTCGGTTAGTAAAAAGCCAATCCTAATGATAAGCCTAATCGCACTTTTATGGATACTCGTAATGGTGACAGTAGTCTCTTTAACACGGCTTGAATGATGATCTGCGTCTGATGATTTAACAGCGTGCTATCAAAATTTTGAAGGCTCTATATTCATTGGTTGACAGCGAGAGCTAGCTCCCTGTTGCACCTTGTCGAACAGAAGTAAAGCTTGAAAAAGCGGGCTAATCTGTGGTGTGTTAACTGCAGCTAACACGGGCGTGACATATGCGTAACGTGTGCAATTTCACAAGCAAGATGCAGCGAGTCAAGTAAACCAATCTGCAGGAAGGACAAAGTTAAACGCTGCACAACATAGCCGATCACAACCGACGTATTGCACAAATGACAGGCACAATAAACAATGAAACGAAAGAGACTGTAGTACATAACTCTAAATAGACCACTTCATGTGAGTACTGCTCATTTTATGTACGCCCATTGACGTGCAAATAACGCTTATGCCTTATACAACAGCTTATGGGTCAGTTCGCTAAATGTAAGTTCCATAGCTCCTTCCAGAATGAACTTCAAGGAGAACACTTAGCGATTCAAGCTGCATTGCCAACATCTTATGAAACCTGGAAGAGACCACTCACTTGGAAGAGTAGTCCAGACCTATCTCTCCAAGCGCGACCACCTTCGGCTGCTCCAGCACATCGATCATCGCGTCCTCGATGTCTTCGTCATACAGTTTGGCCATGTGGGGGTGACACCCGAATGCACCCCAGATTCCCTTCTCCGCAAGAAGGCCTCGCCAGACGCCTCCGCTGCGTGTACAGACGATGAAGTAGTGTCAAATTCATGTTGTCAGGAAGCGTGTGTGAAAGAAGCTGCAACCATCAGGATAACATCTGAACATAGTGCGCATATTTTCAGTACGGGAGCGCAGTATCTTTCGTAAGTTTAAGACATGTTTCCGACAATGGGCGCATGTACAGAGGCCCACTTGAAGCAATACACTGTGTTGATTAAACTCCTGTTTATAAAGTTCTCGTAAATTAGCCGCTTAGCCGCTCCGGACTGTTAGTCAACTTCGCAGTGTGCATCGTCGGATTCGAAGATATATTCCTTACGGAAGCTTACCAGACTTACTACCCCCATATATGTGCGTGCGTGTATGCTTACATCAATAAACATCACAGCTGAGAGTTAAATGACTCGAAGAAAACAAGGAATGAAAGGTGTCTGTGTTTAGTTTTCATTATCGCTAGACAATCACGGCGTGTTTATTTATTTATTTATTAGAATACCCTCAGGGCCCGTAGGGCATTACAGAGGGGGTGGGTACAACATATATAACACACAAGAAAAAAAGACAAAATAAAGAAACAAGTATCAGATGCGCAAATCAGGAAGGCAACATAAGTCAACTAAAAATGTATAAGAATTCAAGCACATACAAGACAAAGATAGATAATGGAAACTGCGTATAGTTACAAGCATTGCTGAGAAATTGCCGTCTTGAATAACAAAGGGTCTGTTATTGATACAACAGAAGAGGGAAGGTCGTTCCAATCGGCGGCCTGTTTTCGGTAAGAAGGCTGCCTGAAAAGAATTTGGTGCGGCAAAACGGAATGGCAACCTTATGCTGATGATCAATGCGCGATGAGTGGTATGACGGTTGTGAAATGAGGTCTCGCTTCATTGATGCATTGTGAAAAAATATCTTATGAAAAAATGCAGTCGCCCCAGTTTCCTCCGGACAGTTAAATTGGGTAGGTCAAGGTTAGATTTCATTTCTGATATGCTAGCAGTACGGGAATAATTAGAACAAATGAACCGAACTGAGCGGTTCTGAACAGATTCTAACGCGTTAATTAAATTTTGCTGCACGGGATCCCATATAGCGGACGCGTACTCAAGCTTTGGCGAATTAGTGATCGGTATAATAGAATTTTGAGGGACAGCGGAGCGCGAGAAAAGTTGCGACGTAAGTATCCTAGCGTTCGGTTAGCGTTATTACAGATGTAGGTAACATGCGTGTGCCAAGATAGATTGTTGGTAATGTAAACGCCGAGGTACTTATATGAAGAGACATGCTGGAGGGGAACGGCGTTAATTCTGTAGGTACAGGGGGGAGAAATAGATCGCTGGGTTATTGACATGCATTTAGATTTGTTAGAGTTGAGAGTCATAAGCCATTTATTGCACCAGGTTGAGACAGTGTCAAGGTCTGACTGTAGAAATTGGTTATCATATTCATTGTTTATTTTGCGGTAAATTACACAATCATCTGCAAATAACCTTATAGCGGAGTTAATGCTGTCTGGGAGATCATTAATATATATAAGAAGGAGTAAAGGGCCTAATACGGAACCTTGGGGTACGCCGGATGTTACTTTAGAAAGAGGTGAGTTATAGCCATTAGTTGTTACAAACTGAGTGCGATTAGTCAGAAAGCATTCAATCAATTTAAGAATGTTCGGGTCAATGTTTAAGGCACTAATTTTCAGGAGGAGTAATTGGTGAGGTACTTTATCGAAAGCTTTTTGAAAGTCAAGGAAAATGCAATGCACAAGTGAGCCGCGATCTAAAGCCGATCCTATGTCATTAGTAAAATAAAGAAGTTGGGTTTCACATGAGTAACTTTTTTCGGAATCCGTGCTGGTAGGGAGTAAAAAAGTGTTATTTAAAGCTCTGTCATTCCGACGGTAAATATTCAAACAACTCTGCTTATATGTGTTGTCTGGAGAAGATTGTGGACGAGCAATTCATGCGGAAAATGTGCGCGCACGGTACAGCGACCGCCAAGCAGCGCTGGCGAGACGGCTATTGGCGTCGCGCTGCACGCAACTAACCAGAGGATAATAATGTCCACGCTATTGCTGACTATTTCTATGAAATTATCAGATGTTGTTTAGTATCAGATCACTGTAGAGAAGCGCACATGTGTATCTCGGAAATCCCACAGTGTCATTGCTGTCGCTGTCTAAGTCGCTGCGCATATGCCAGACCATGTATTGTTTCGAAATACTACTGGATATATATGTGGGATTTAACGACCGTAAACCACCATATTATAATGAAAAACACCGCATTGGAGGGCTCCGTAAATTTTGACATCCTGGTGTTCCTAACGTGCACGCAAATCTGAACACACGGGTCAACAGCGTCTTTGCCTTCGAAATGCTCCTAGGCATTGCGCGATATGAAACGATCACTGCGCGCTATGAAACGATCGTGGGAGAGTTTCAGCCGAATATTTTTTTTCATCGACATTTCACCGTTTCACCGAACTCCCTTGATTGAATCAAAATACAAAACTGGATATAGAAGTGGCCGCGTCCTTCCTGTAGCCAATGCTCAGTGTTGCTCGGTCGACGATAATCGGCTATATTTGACAATTTTTTCACTTCCAATCTGCAAGTATCGCGAAAATTGCCGTTTATGCGCAGTCTGGCGCAATTGTTGCCGCACTACCACCCCTGCATGCGCATAGAAGGCGACTGTGTTAACGTTACGAAGTGCTGCTAAATATATCTACTAAAATGAGGCGTTTTAGAGTGGCACTCTTTTATAAAACAGGAGAGCGGTCCCGACACGTCAAGTAGTAATGGCGGAACCAGCCTGAGTACCCAGCCAACTAAACGTCGTCTTCTTCACCGACTGAGTCATACCCCATGCCTTTCTGAGTAGCACTCATCTTCTTCACTACACTACAAATACACTTAAAACACAAATTAAACATTCGCATATCGTTTACATGAACACTTGTTTACAGGTGAGTAAGAATGCCACAGCAACATGGATATTGTCAACAGCAGAAGCGGTAAGCTGATATGAAGGAGTGGTGCTCGCTAGGATGGTCGCCCTGGACGGTGTTAAATAAATCAACCTCAGCGCATGGGGCTTGGTTACAGATGTCGTTAACCCTACGATACGGCTGTGGAATTGAAGTACATATATAATGCTTATGAAATTGGATAGATAGCGAGCACTGCAGCGCCAATGCACGTCTCACGAACACAAGGGTCTATTTGAGAAATAGTTCCAAGCCCTAGCGCGGGTCTGTAATAGCACCCTTGATAAACCCCAAGAATTCTGAGGTTCTATTGCTGCTGGGACTCTCGGACGTCTTTTTTTTGCATTCGTCGAGTCAATGCTACCAATGTCAGCTTTTTTATTTTTTTATATTTTTCATTCCTAACGCTTTAAATTTCCCATGTCTGCCCTCATCATTCCTGGGTAGTTGTAAACTCTCAATCACCTGTGGCGAATGCCCACATACCTGTAGCGCATACCAGGCCGCGAGTACCTGACACTTGTCAGGCGGAAAGGGTTCGACAACGTATGCGAATGGATTGTAACATTATCATGACGAGCCAATCAATATCTATATATATATATATATATATATATATATATATATATATATATATATATATATATATATATATCCTACCGCCTAAGCTAGCCGGGCAGACAACTATCTATCCAGCTATATCTACCTATCTATCTATCTGTCTCTGTCTATGAGACAGACAGACAGACAGATGATAGACAGAAATGTGAAGCTCACTCGGACTCACTCCAGAAATATGTTATGCTCTGATAACTCATTAACTTTTTTTCTGCTGTACTCAAGCTTAGCAACATATTACTCGGCTGAACCAAATACTTTTCTGAGGGAGCCCAGGTTATAGCCGACGCATGAATTCGGAAGCGTAGAATTAGCTTGAATAACAACTCTGTTTGTTGAACGCCCCAGATAATCGGTGGTCTCCAAATTGCCTTGGTATCTTGTTTCTTTAAGTACAAGCACAGTCCCTCTGGTACAAGTTATCCATGGTCTGACTATAGTAAAAACATTTTTACTTAATTAGTGACTCACACCAGATAGTTTTATCAAGAACGTCCGACAAGAGAGATTGCAAGTGTATTGCATGGTAATAAGTCTTAATCAGTCTCTCCTTAACTATGTGATATTGCGATGGCACATGGGGATAAAAAATGCAAGGAAAGGTAGGGAGATTAACCAGACGCACATCCGGTTTGCTACCTTGCACTGGGGAAGGGATAAAGGGGAGAAAAGAGGTTGCAAGACTTCGATGGCACATGATTGCTTGTGTATATAGGCATGTGTAAATAGATTTCACTATACACGTAAGCTGATATCAGGTGGACGGTAATGCTGAGATAAGCAGACACTTCTGAGTTCCTAGTAGTAATCAGGCTTTCCTATTTTATCACAAAAAGCCACATACCTTCTTGAAAGTCTCCGGATCGCAGAAAACGGCCACGCACCCTTCGTAGTTGAGGGGGAACGTGGCCTGGTGCTTCCTCCGGAACTCGGAAAACGTGCCGTGGTGCCTGGCTTTCGGAACAGGAAGTCCAGGTGACAGTGGGTGTCAATGAGGCCCACCGATGAGGACACCGAGTAAGGCCACTGCTTGGCAACGTGGTCCATGGCAGAGAGGTTGGGTTCCTGTGTACGATCGAATGATACGATGCAATTTTCGTCGTGTTGGGTATATATAGTTCTTAGTACCGTATAGACTGCCTCTGAGAAAAAAAGCCAGACTTAGTTCTGTACGTGCTCTCGCTTTTCTAAGTGATTATCATAACTGCGCTGAGTGGCATACTAATAGGACAGCAATGCGGTTATGTTTCGCGGAATACTCTAAACCATTGTGTGTCGAATAAAAAAAGTGAATTGCACATAACTTCCAAATACGTCACATCGATCCACTGAGGCATACA